AGCAGATACCTTAAAAGCAACTGAGGCCAATAGGAGAAGGGGACCAGGAACTACAGAAAAGGTTAGATCAAGAAGAATTAACCTGGAAGGTAACACACATGCACAGGAAATCAATGTGAGTCAACTCCCTGTATGGCTATCCTTATCTCAACTGGTAAAAACCCTTGGTCCTTCCTATTATTGCTTATATGTTCTCTTCAACAAAATTAGAGATAAGGGCAAAATAGTTTCTGCCTGGGTATCAAGATGGGGAGAGGGAGGGGGTAGGGTGGGTGGTAAGGGAGGGGGTGGGAGGAGTGGGGAGAAATGACCCAAACATTGTAGCAAATATGAATAAAAAAAAAAGAAGAATTAACTTAGAAGGTAATACACATGCACAGGAAATCAATGTGAGCCAACTCCCTGTATAGCTATCCTTATCTCAACTGGTAAAAACCCTTGGTCCTTCCAATTATTGCTTATATTCTCTCTTAAACAAAATTAGAGATAAGGGCAAAATAGTTTCTGCCGGGTAGCAACGGGTAAAGGGTGGTAAGGAAGGGAGAGGGGTAGGGGGTTTAAGGGTGGGGATGGGGGGAGGCATGACCCAAACACTGTATGCACATATGAATAAAATAAAAATTAAAAAAAAGAAAATATTATAAAATTGTGATAGCTGCGTAACTGTGAATGTACAAAAACCTGTGAATTATATACAATTAGTGGCTGAATTGTATGGTGTGTGAATTGTATATCAGTAAAACTGTTAATGAAAAAGATTTAGAATGATGTGTGATTATAGTGAACTCTCAATAAATGGTAACTATTACTAGTTCTAGTACTATTTCACAAACCTGAATGAAGGGAAGAATGATTGTGGCATTAGTGATAGCTTCCCTGCTAAAATCAGAACAATGAAAGAAATTCAAAAGAAATTCAAAAGGAGATAGCAAAGGAAATTAAGGTAAAATATGTGTGCAAACCTCCAGGATCCCATTTCGGTTAGAAACCAAGAAGAGATGCCCTTTGCCGGTACCTCCTGCCTGTAATCCTAGCTTCTCAGGAGGTAGAGATCAGAAGGATCACGGTTCATAGCCAGCCCGGGCAAATAGTTAGAAAGAGACCCTATATCGAAAAAACCCATCACAAAAAAAAGGGCTGGTGGAGTGGCTCAAGGTGCAGCCCTTGCAAACCCCAGTAGCACAAAAAAAAAAAAAAAAAAAAAAAAACAAAGAAACCAAGAAGAGATAAATGCTAACCTTCTGGTTTGACTTCTTTCTGCTGGGTAAATAGCAGAAATCTGTGGACCCTGCAGATTAATTTTCTGGAGTTTCCAATCTTTTTACCTTATCCCTGCCATAAGTATCTAATCTATTCAACTGCAGATTGGTCAATCCCTGAAGAAATAATTCCCATTAGAATATGAAGAGAATAAGGTCTTACTCCACTTTCTAAGTCTTCTTCCAGTAAAAGTTTTCCTAAGAGTAAATTTTTCCAATCCTAGATGGGAATGCTCAGCTCTACTTACAGAACATGTGAACACTTACCCATAACAGCTGGAAGACACAAGTTTTTTGGCCCATGGAAATAGTAATTTCTCTCTAGAAACAAGGGACAAACCCCCAAAGTCTAATGGGATAAGCAGACTCCTATGCTATCAGCCAGTTGCTGAGACCCTGAAAAGTTAAGCTGCCTCCATATTCCCACGTACAGAAGTAGTTCAACAAGGACTGAATTACTAAAAGAGAAAAAAGAAGAAAATAAAAATTATGGGCAAATTCCTCAATGACAACAGCTCTTTCAATATGCACACATATACATACCAGGAAGAAGAAAGAGAGAGAAGAGCCTTGTAATTCTTCAGTAACCACTTTTGGGCCCACCTTAGCACTCAGGGTTAATGTAGTAGTCACCACTGTGGCTCACTAAATACATTCTTAATGAGGATAAAATGATGTTACAGACTCTCCTTTATCATCTAAAATAATACAATCTGAGTCCCCTCTTACTCACCTGTTTCTTTTCCTCCCATTGTTTTTGGCTGACTCAAGAGCATATGTGCTCCCGTTTATCCTCTTGGAAACATATTTTACAAACTCCTTATTGGCTTTCTTCTTGGACTGGACAGGTTGACTTTGAGAAGCCTACAAAATAAGAGGGGAAAAGGAGGCAAGAAAATGAAGGGAACCAAATATTACCCATCAGTGCTTCTTATAAGAAAGTTGTAACTCCCATCTCTACCCTGGACAGCTTATTTGGGTGCTCCCAGGAGTGACAATCCAAACATCACACAAACAGTATGGTACTGAGCCAACCAACCTCTGTGCAAGCTAGCAGCAAACTATCAGTACAGTAAGTACTGGTACATACCAGCTAAAATAGCAGCCCTAAGTGATTCCA